TTCTCAGTTCTTCTGACCGTAAACTAATATAATCTTCCTGGAAAATATAACCCTGGAAAAAAAGGACGGTGTGGGTTTCTTTGGTCAAAAAATTACATATCCTTTAGAAATATCAAAATTTGCCGAAATTCGCCGAAAGGAGCAAGACAAAATTAGTCCAGATGACGATTTTTATTTTTTTTTTAATCAAAACAACAAATGATTAAGGTAGAGTAGAGATAATTTTGTGCTGAATCGCTGTGCGAAGTGTCCAAAGTCAGTTATACGTTGTTGAAAAGTAAAATTACTCGCAACGGTAGAATTGAAATTCAACGAGCAAAATAATTGACTGAGGATCATTCTTTTTCAAAAATATTTAAAAATCTTTTTCTCACGAACCACTGGGCCAGGAAAGATGAAACACATGTAGAAACATCCTCTGGAAGTGTAGATTCAAGTTTGTTCATATCATGACCCCAGGGTGTAGGATGGGGCCAGAATTTGAGGTGCAGCTTATATGGGTGATTAAGAAGGATTAAATAGAATCATCTTTTTAAAATTCGTTTTCTCAAGATCAGCAAAGGTGTGATTGGTCATTAATATATTGATACATCCTCATGAAGTATAGATTCAAATTTGTTCAAATTATGACCGCCGGGGTAAATGAGCGGCCGCAATGGTTGACCAAGGTTTTACGTAGAAATACATGGGTAAATCGTTAAAATTCTTCACAAGGACAACAATGTCAGGATTGGTCATGAATATTTATCATCAAAAAGTAATTTTGGAATCACAAAGTAATATAGAATTAAATTTGTTTAAATCATGACATGGAGGGATCTTTATCGTGCCATACCTGCTGTGACACGGGGCCTCGGTTTATACGGTCTCATCCGAAGGACCGCCCCATTTAGTCGCCTTTTACGACAAGCAAGAGGGTGCTGAGGACCAATTCTGACCCGGATCCCCACGGGGTCGAACCAACTTTTATATTTGAGGAGTTGGCTTGGTAAAAGATAATATCAGCTCAGATTTGAAAAGTCAAATACGAACCAACTTTAATGCTTGACTTTTCAAATTTGAACTGATATTATCTATTACCAAACCAACTCCTTAGGTTAGGATTATGGCCCCTGGGTCTCTTGTTGATTAGGCTATTGATTGGTCAGGATGTCAAATTGTTTAGTAGTTTATTATTTGAATTTATTATTTTTGTGGTATTTTGGGAGTTTAAAAAAAAATACATTTTTTTGTTTTGTGTACTCTAATCGGATTATGTGTAATTTGATGGATAATTTGTGATCATATGTAGTTTAACTAATAAGCACATGGAAAACTGTATCCATATATATGTCTTTATAGATCGCATGTTTATGTGTACCCCTCCGTCATATGTTTGGCATAAAAAAAAACTTTCCTCTGCCACTGGAGATTTCGATTGTTCGCACTTAAGACAACTTGCCCGTACAATTATTCATCCTTTTAAAAAAGAATATGGAATCTCACTTTTTTAAAAATCTCTTAAATCGTGAAATCGTATTTATGTATTCATTGTGGAATCTGAATTTCTCTCATACGGTTTCATATATACATGTAAATTAAATATTGATTCTATGGCACAAGCATTTTTAAAAGTAAGTATAACCTGCAGTATAAAGATAACTTTATATAAACATAGCAACTTTAATTAAAAACGTAAAGTTCTAAAAGATAGTGCAAGTCTTCATCGGCATTAGTTTTGTGCAAAATAATTTGATATACAACAATCCAAATACAGCTCGATACAGCTTGTAGCAACGAATTTTCATATAGGGTTGGGGTCTCCGAGCAATTTTCTGCGAACTACAGGGCTGTGCTACACATGTACCTTCAGATCTTTTTCTCCAATGATAGACTTCTTCCCTATAAATGCAGAACAGATGTAAAGTCGCAGCTGTTATGGTTTATATGGGTTATATGTAAAATTGACAAAGCTATGGTCAATCGGAGATAAAATTTAACAATTTTGCGATCAAAGTGCTATAAAGTAATCAGCTCACTAAAGAACATGTGAACAAATCTACATGAATATTCACTTAACCTTGAAATCTTCTTTAAGGACAGATAATACAAACATTTTTTTGTCAAAAAAATAACATCTTGAATTTTGTTTTAATATTGCTCACTTTATCGAAAGTTGATGAAACAAGAATATCAGCAATGTCGACGTCGTTAAAAGTCATCATTTCGTAAGTTCTTTGGTAGATACAATGACCTTGTCGTCAGCAATAACAATTTACAATTAGATCAAATCCTGACGTACATTTTTCATACTAAGTATTAGTCCTTTATTCATGCACTGAATTGACTAATCATTTTTCCGTTCATTCCCCATCATAACAATACGTTCACGGCGGTTTTGACCGGTGGCAAGGGATGCTCACTCCTCCATGGCACCTGATCCTACCTCTGATGATTTGGAGTTCTTTGTTTGCTCTGCTCCTATTTTGTACTGTTTCATGGACTTTGATTTTGAATTATGTTCGTTATCTCCATATGTTTCGTGTAAAGAAGAGAAACAATACTGCATTGTTATATTTAAGCTATATTTACATGTCATCATGACGAAACCAGAGTTACATGTAAGGCATATGAATGTATGATACGCAAGTTCAGAATTAAACAGGTGTTGAAAAAAAAGACGTAGATTCTACTACACTCTTATATTTCATTATTACGCCATATCTTAACAGTTACAATTAACTGCATCGGATGAGTTGTGATATCTTTGAGGGAAACTTTATCGTATTTGCGTATCATAAAAAAGGAATGTAAAAATGTCGTAAAATACATTTTCATATCTCAGAAAGAATCTTGGAATTATGAAGCAAATGCAGCTCACGATCGTACATTTGAGAGTAAGCTTTAAAGACATCATCGTTGCAATTTTTTGCTTTGTAAAACCTCGTTATCAGCTAATATTCAGAAATCTGAGAGGTGAAGATGAATTATGGACTTGATATATTAAGATTAAGAAAGCGAATTCTTATATTATTTCTAAGTCACCTGAGAAAACTCTATTGCTATCCGTTTTCGTCCGTCGTCGTGCGTCGTGTGTTAATATCTGAACATTTTCAGCTTTTTCTCTGCAACCACTCAAACAATATCCACCAAATTTGACATAAAGCATCTATGAGTGAAGACGAACAAAATTAAGAATTCCATGGTCCCTGTCCCCCTGGGGCCTATATTCGAAACACCAAAATTAATGCAATCTTTAAAAATCTTCTTCACTCCTGAACACCAAGCAGTCAAACTGTTAGCATGAATGTAATAATGTGAAATTCATGGCCCCAGGGTAAGTTGTTCTAGTGCTAGGCGATTATTTCTTTAAAAATCTTCTTCTTTACTCCTGGGTATTAAATTAACTAAATACATAGTTATGATGTGTAAGAGTGCCTCTTCTTAAATTGTGAATTTCATGGCCCCAGGGTCAGGGGTCCCGTTGTTAGGGTGGGACTCTAATGATTATCTTATGAAAATGCATTAATTCTTTCAAAATTTTCGACTCTGCTCCTGTGTACATGTATTAAATAAACTAACTAAATACATAGTTATGATGAGTAGCAGTGCCTATTCCAAAATTGTGAATTTTATGGTCCCAAGGCCAGGGGTTCTGGTGTTAGCGCGGGTTTCTATTGATTATACAGCAAAACTCGCTTAGTGCGAACACGGATATTGCGAATTTACGGATATAGCGAAGTTATCTTGGATCCCCAGCAATATAAATTTAATGAATTTCTTATACGGTTATCACGAATTACGGATATAGCGAAATAATTTCATAGGTCTCAGTGACTTCGTTATATCCGAGTTTTGCTGTATAGTGAAAATGCATTATTTCTTTGAAAAACTTCTTCTCTTCTCCTGAGTATTAATTAAACTAAGTAAATAGTTATAATGAGCTAGAGTGCCTCTTCCAAAATTGTGAACTTTATGATCCCAGCGTCAGGGGTTCTGGTGTTTGGGCAGGGCTCTATTGATGAAATAGTGAAAATGCATTATTTCTTTGAAAATCTTGTGTCAGGGATTTTGCTATTCCGTGTAAGAGGGGGTGGGGTGGGGCTTTTTTGATAACGTAGTGAAATTGATACATTAATTCTTTAAAAATCTTTTCCTCTGCTCCTGGGTATCTTGCTTATGATCCAAGTATATATATTTATCAGGAAGTAAGGTTTTCTAGCAAACTGGTTAATTTCATGCCTCCTGGGTCAAGGGTGTCGGAGGTGGTTACATAGTCAGAAAATAAATTAATGCTCTGAAATCTGCTCTTTGCTATTTATCAATCATTTATGATGAAATAAAATCTATGATAAAATTTCAAAAAAATTGAAATATGCGGCTTCAGAGACAGTGCTTCCTTTGGGGTGGGGTGCACAACTGGTTATAAAGTGAAAGTGTATTTTTGTTTGTTACTCTGATCTACCTCTGGGTATTAAGTAAATAGAGTAAGCATGCTAAGTTTATAATTATGATAAGCAATGTTGTCTCTTTCAAAATTGAGAATTTCATGGCCTCTGGCTTAAAGCACGAACCAAATTCAATTGTTGGAAGGTTGTAACATGATACTAAGGTGACTTATTAGACCCGTGGGCCTCTTGTTATTTATGATACCGGGCTAGATATTACTTATAAAAGCAACAGTTGTTTTGTCTACATCCTGTCTGAATTGAAGAAATTGTCTTTGTGTTTCACACTTGAGGATATGTAGTTCATATTAATGTTGATTTACTACTCCGTTTAATTTCTTTTTTTCCAAAATACTTTTCTATGATTCATAGTCGCATAACACAAACAGAATTGTTTTAACGGAAGAGACATAGTTGCATGAATAAATATAATACCATAGTCAGAATTAAATAAAAAAAATTCTTTCCTTCGTAAAAATGAACATGATCCCACTTTACTCGACTCTTCTTGTGTTTATTTTTTTCTTTTATTGCCGATGTTTTTTCTCAATCTTAATATATATTTAGATTCTAAATAGGATCAGGAACAATGCCTTTATTTTGGAGATCCTTATTGGTGATGTACTGGATAAAATGTTTTTATGGTCAAAAGATTGACTATCTCCATCAAATATGTTCAGCACCAGAAGACATGGAATTCCTAAAAAATGAATTAAGCATCCTAAGAAGAATATTTCAAAAACAAGAAAAGAACATGGAAATACTAAAAAAGGAATTGAATGTTTTCAAAAGTAAGTAAATTAGCAACTGAATGATATTTTCTGTTAGATGAAACCAAAGAATCAAAGATTATTACGATAAACTGCAAATCGTGAATTCTTTACCATTCCAAGTCTTAAGTTCCAAGGATTCTGCACTTTTTAAAAAAGTCTACAGACCATACCATCCAAAGTACTGTGTACTGTATTACAGACTGAAAATAAGATTTTTATACAACGATAAGTGCACTGTGAAAATGTTAACACAATGACATCCGTCATTTATAATAGCATTTTATCATTCCAAATAAACCGTATTAAATGAACAACTAATATTCACAATCAAATCAACCAAACGTGTTACAAAGCAGCATAAATTCCTACCGCTTCCTACACCAACCAACCCATACTGAAAATTACAATCCTCTTCTCCGCAAATCAGTTCCAGGTGATTCCTGGAAAAAGTATGTCGCATTTTCCGAATGATCACAGTCTTGTTTTAGATAAAATCTTGTGACATGTCTAAGTTGACTCTGAAATATAAATTTAATTAACTGTAACAATGTTCAACACACAATAAACTATAATTATACTAATTATTTTTGAATCAAAATGTGTCGATTTAAGGAAATTTATCCAAGAGTTACTCAAGTCATGAATTTTCTATGTTAGCTACCTGTCACTCATGTTCAGAATTATGAAAATGACATTGTTATATTTCATTACTTATGTGTTATACAAATCTTTGCTAATAAGAATATACTAAACCCATCGCTTGTTGTAGTTTATGAATGTTTATCTCAGCAAAATATCTGCCTTGGATGTCGAAAAATTTGAAAATAAAAAAAACCCATTAAGATTAATATATAACGAAGATATGAACTTGGTCTATAAGTATTCAAATCTACCTATAATATCTTTGGATGCACATGTTATCAGCAGACCAAACGGTTTTTTTTTAAAGAATCTTGTTAATTTTGTCATTTCTTAGATATGCAGAAAGATAAGAAATTAATAGATAATGAAGACATACTCTTATAGGAGATTTTAAAATGCTTATAGTGTATTTGAAATCTAGATCTGTTACTCTTTCTGGGTATGTTTAATGCATATCGAAGAAAAATTCTAAAACAAAAACGTAACATTAACATGTACACCGAGATATAATGCACGTATGGCGTATTTTTTAAAGTTTTTGCTTGCTTCTAACAGGTATCAAATAAAAAAAATGTAGAACAATATAAATTCCCATTAAAATATTGTGCTTCATAATTAAACGATTATATTACAGAGACTGTTGAAGAAGTAAGTGAAATAAAAGAAACAATCCAACACCTATCGTCGAAACAGACGACTATGGGAAGAAGAATAAATCGTAAGTTCAAGAGAGTGAGAGAGGGGGGGGTAAAAAAAACATCGCTTGTTGTAGTGTTTGTTTGTTTAGCACACCTTATTGTTCGCCTTGGATGTAAAAATAATTGAAAATTGAGAAAAAATAAGAAATTAATTTGATATGAAATTCGTTTATCAGTAGTCAAATATGATTTGAAATCTCTCTGGCTGAACAGGTTGCTGTAAGTACACTGTAAGGAAAGTTAATCTATCAACTTGTTTACTATAATAAAGATATTGAGTAATATATGAATATATATGGTAGTTTACCAATACAATTATTCATTGTATGGCTCAGTTAAAACAAAAGACATTTTACTAGAGCAATATGACAAACAATAAAAAAACAAACAAATATTTAAATTACAGAGGTTGAAGAAAGCGTAATGAAAATAAAAAGATCAACTCAACAAATTGAGTCAAGCCAGGCGACAATAAAAGAGAAAATGAATCGTAAGAAGAGTGGGACAAGAAGAGGGATTGCTTGTGTGAGGGTGTGTGTGGGTGTGTGTAAGGGAGGGAGGGTGTGTATGTATCAGATGACACATCTGGTTTATACTTGGATAATTTATATGAAAAACACGTTAATGGTAATGTAACAACTAAGCTCTATAGTAAACGTAATAAATTTAACGTTTCTATCGTCAAATTCCCTTACTTATGCAGCGGTATACCTTCATCACCTGTATATGCAATTAACATATCTCAGCTTATTCGATACGGAAGAACATACTTTACGTATAAGCAATTTCTATAACGAAATAAAATATTAACAAACATGTTAATGAAACAAGAATGTCAGCTTTCCCGTTTTAATTCGTCATTACGTAAGTTTTATTGTCGATACAATGACCTTGTCAGGTAATGTAATTTATCATTGAGTCAAATGCTGACTAGCGTTTTTATGCTCATTGTTAGTCCGTTATTTATATACTATTATATTTATATTGACGATGGATTTTCCATTATATCCCGATCTTTACAATGAGCAAAGGGCGGGTATAACCGGTCTGCAGGGGATGCTCAACCATCCATGGCACCTGATTTCCCCTCTGATTTGACTCCGGTCTTCTTCATAAAATGTTTAAAGACGTTTTATTCAATGTATTAACCCATCTTAAGCTTTTATTTATGTAATAGCCTAAACCCAATCCCTTGTTGTTGACAGAATTAAGACAATTTTCTCATTTATTTCATCTTTTCAAGTCTAGCTGGATCTTAAAAAAATACTTTCAAATGATTGCATCATAAATTTTGTTTTGTCTTGTTAATCTTCTATATCATATTTATCAGGACCTAAAGGCTTTAATAACATTTATTTAGAATACGTGATACCTAAGGATGCTTTGCAAAAATCGATTTAATCTTATCTTGCTTATAAAGAGAAGTAATGTTTGTATTACCTGTAGAGCAGAGAGACATTTTTGGATCACTTTCCCTTGCGTATTCCTTAATATGTATGCCCGACTGTCCGTTTGTCACACCCTGTATCTCTAGAAATGCTTAAAATATTTATTTGATATTTTCCACAAACATTAATATTGCTTGACACAATGTATTATTAAATACATACATTGAATATAATTTGTTACTGACCCAATGGTCTGTAAACTTGATCTATACAGTTCATGGTTAATCGAAATAAACGCATAAACTAATTAAGGGGTTATACAATTTTTTTTATGAAAAATGTCATTGTAAATTTAATTTCTTTTAAAGATTTGTTTCGTTTTAAGAAATAACGATGTATAGCTTACATACAATATTTTGATGTTAATTTTTTAATGTGTAAGACGAAAACAACATGAATTTAATTGCAAATGTACAAAGAAAAATCCAAATGATTTCTTATTTATCACAATAAGTGAAAAAATATTTAAGATAATATCATGAGTAAGGGATAAATGTTCTACAACCTGTTTAACACACTTACACCTTCTTCTTTTACAGACACACCCAACTTCTCTCCCTCACACACATACAGAGTATGAAAGAAAGAAAGAAAGTTATGCTTTAAATTTCTGAACCTGATATGAACATGCAAATACATCTTATCTTCTGATGGTACAGATTTAGTTATTTTACCTCTTTCAGAAGAAGTTGCCTTTACTGCCGAACTTAAGTACGGAACATCTATATATGCATTAAAAGAAAATGAGAAAATTGTATTCAGTCATGTAGTCACCAGTCGAGGAAATGCCTACAACAATGACACTGGTATATTTCGATGTCCAAGAAGTGGATTATACGCATTCTTTTTTAATATCCTTACTTTACGGAACAAGTGGGCGTTGGTGGAAATAACAAATGGAAACTATCCTCACGCTATAGCATACGCTGAAGGTTCTTCTGAAGGTACAAATGGCAGCAACTTTGTTTTACTCTCACTCTCGGCGGGGACTGAGATTTGGCTGAGGGCTGCTAACAACTGGACGTCTAGAGGAGAAATAATGAAATACAACGAAAATACCTTTTCTGGATTTCTTGTGCATCCGTATTAGTGGATTTACACATCCCTATCCAAATTCTAGATTAACGATATAAAATATTTAAAAATTGTAAGTTCATATATTTGTGGGGATCAGAATTTAACGAATATTTACATTTGCAAATATCTTTCTTAGATGAACCTATTGAAAAGAAAATGTGTTCAATTCTGTGTGATCTTTATTTGGGTGTCAGAGGTCATAGCGCTACCGAATCACTCGGCGAGGTGATATCTTGGTTGCATGTATTTCTGTTTTCAGAACTATCAATTTAAAAGCGATGAAAAATGTAAAATAACTGAATATTTTTATTTAACAGATGTTTCATAGATCTCCCTTTGGATGAGGAATGTTTTGACCCTTTAACTACCAGGGATTATGTGTTTTTACTGCAAAATTGGCAAAATCATGTTGAATAAAATTTAGATACTGTAAAACGAGAAAATTTTGGCGCATACATGTACGTATTTTAGCGCAAGAGCTATTAGGAATCCATTGGCGAAAATAAATTTTAGCGCTTGCTCTTGTCAGTAAAATATATAAATGTGATATTTTTTTTTATCCACACCCGTATTTGACTTTTTGGTTAGTCGTTAACTTGTTATCACATGGGCGTGGTACAATGTTAAAATTTATTTTATTTCTAGTTTCAATTAAAAGAAATGGAGTATTTACTCATTTAAATCATATAAAAACAATGCATGAATAAACAGAAAATTACTTAGATAAAACGCTTATGCTAATCAGGTTTTGTCTGCAGGCTCAATCGCCATGCTTGATTGCATTGTTTACCTCGAGGTGATAAATGATTGATTCACCGAGAAGCCAAACATTGAAGGTGAGCACTAATGATAATAACAACTATCGGGGTAACAATAGATTAATTGATTAAATTATGATTTGCCAGAACTTTCTGTCTTCAGAACATGTGCAGTGCTATAGAGTGTGTATATAAAATCCAATGACCATTCGACATTACGTAATCGAGCGTTCCGGCTTACATGCACTTATGTAAAAGCTTTCAAGAGACAATAGCGCACAATAAATTTTAGCGCTTATTGGCTCGATTACACCAAAAGCGCAAAAATTAGTAGTGTGCCAAATTTTCTCGTTTTACCGTAATTTTTGGTCACTTTTACATGAAGCAACCTATATATTTTCTAATAGGTTAGATGCTAAACTATTTAATTACGTAGAGTAAAAAGACGTCGCGGTTGCCCTGGCATCGAATGACACTCATAGTTTCCAAATGTTTTGTTTTTCTCCTTTTATATTCCCCACTTTCATAATAGAGGATTTAGTGATACATGTACTACTAAAACAAAGCATACTGTCCATTAGTTTTAAGTTATGCTGGTCATTTTTTTTAAATACTTAATAAAGGGTTTGCCAATTACATAATGTCCGCCATCCATAAGCATGGTAAGGCCTTCAGGCATTACGAGGGTCATTCAAATAATACATAGACAATGTCCACCATCATAATATCATTCTTACAAAATTTTAGATCAACACATTTTTTTATGTAAAAACATAAATTTTATCAGTATGTAAAGTTTTTTCCATTTGATTAAATGGAACCCGTGTTAGACAATTTTAAAAGTTACATGTGTTGTCACCACGGAGCACGGTTAACAACACTGTGACGTCAAAAACAACTTCGGGAAATTTTCTTAAAATTACTCTGTCTTTTCATACCATCCACGGTTTCTTGCTTCTTCTGAATTCATGGATCTATAGCCCTTTACACCTAATCCATTTACAATTACTTGAGTACATTATGATAAATTGTCAATGCTTTTGAATTCTTTTTCGCGTAACTCATGTTTTCACAAGTTCCGCAAAAGTGAATTGCCCATCACATTTGATGACGTTACCAACTCTTTGACAAGATTTTTTACTATATTTTTTTTTTCGCAGACTCTTCATGGTCCGATTCCAAGTCTCTTGCACTCAAAAATAGTCATTCCCATTACAAACAAATGCATAGAACATTTTTATCTATTTCTGTTTCACCAAACATTCTCAGAGTTCGTTTTAGAGGTTTTCCGAGTGCAAAACAAAATTTTATCGGTACTCCCTGCTCCGTGACGTCCTTCGACGTCATCATTTTTGCTTTTTTCATGAAGTCTATCTTCCTTTAAAGATTGATTTCTTTTAAACGAAGCCATGTATTACATTAAAGTTTAGCATCTGAAGTAATAGAATAATACTAAATGAAAGATTTAAATTTTATTTCGTTTAAGAGCCATTTATTAGAGTTATGGCTCCAGACATTATCAAGTGCATAATTATAAAATAGGTCAATTTTGACCCTGCTCCGTGACCCAATTTTTTCTGTCTTGAATCTTTAATAATTTTCATAATTATCAAGATATTTTCCAGTTTTTTGGCTCAAATTATTTAAATGTATTGTTAAAATATGTGTACTAAATTTAGTTATAAAATAACGTTAAATATAAAAGTTACGACAAAAGTCTACGAACTTTTTGAATGACCCTCGTACATTTGCCTATATGTAGTATGTAATTTTCAGATCGCTTTCCCTCTAACAGTTTTTGATTTATTAAAAAAAAAATGGTACACGTGTAGAGAACACTGGCATACACAATTCTTTATTTTAGTTACTTTATTTCAATGAAAAATGTTGCCATGGTAACAAACATTGGAATTTTGGAAGAGGACATCTTAAGGATGATTACAATTTCAACAAGACATGAAAAACTAAATTCAGTAAAATGCTACACACTCATATGTAAATAATGTTACATAAATTGACATTTATAAAACATTGGTCGAAGGGAGATGAGGAAAGCTATTGCTATGAAGAGTTTCTCATCGCTCATCGGAACGTGTATTAAATTGAATTCTCGTACATGTATGTTATTTTACGTCCCTTTAAAAAAATAACTCATGTGGAGATATAATGTATCGACAAATTATAGGGCATCAAATTTTGACCTTTGACCTTCACTCGGCATTCAAGGCAATAGAACCATAAGGGACCTTTATCATGCCTACGCTTGCCGTGACACGTGGAATGCCCGGTCGTTTTTGACATCAAATACCCACTCCTCTCTCCCATTTACTAGAATTTTACTTGAGAATAAATTATTTGCCTGCAGATTTCATCAATTTGAACGCGAGAATTCCGTTATTGACTTGAACATATAATATTAGTTCACCAACACGTTTAAAAACCAACTAATTTCACAATGAACTTTTTTACCTTGTTGTTAATTTCTTAATTGAACACATCCAATGAATCGTAAACAACAATAATAATAGAGCTCGTGCCCTTAGATAAATAAAATTTTAATTTATTTATTGTTTAAAAGGCTATAAGTCGTAATATTATACAGAAAATATAAGCTTCAAATCGGTGTCTATACATTTTGAAAAAAAATCTAACCATGAAAGAAAACTTTATATATTTATAAATGGATGCCTTTACAGGGAAAATATTAAATAAGAAATCAAGATCGAATGATTGTTTAAACTAAATCTAGTTTAAGAGTTATAGAAAGGAAATTGCGAAAAATCACTACAAGTGCCCTTGTCGATCATATCAAGTCAATGTACACAGAACATCATATTAAGACTAGTGATTGACCTATCAGATCATAAATGCATGTAATAGGATTTTACTTATTTTAGTTAAGTCCATTTATCAAAGCTAAATAGCGTTAATGTCACACTTGGGGTTTGTCGGGGTTTTATAGCCACCTGTAGCTCTGCAGCAGGGAAAAGCTTGAAATGTGACGTCACGGCCACCCTGCAGTGTCCCTGCATATCCTGTACAGTGTAGCATTCAGACGTGGAAGTTCAGAAGGAAGGACGGTGATTTTTGTGTAAAAGTATTGCACGTTTCTCTGTCCACTGCTACTTAGACTAGATATTATAGTTATTTATTTATTCAAAACAAAACAAAAATGCTGAAGAGTAAGGCCACTTCGTCTTCCGTAGTTTCTGAGACACAGCCATCAGCACCGGATAGGCCCAGACCACGCAAGAGACCCCAGACGCAGACCGAGGCCAGGAAAAGTCACGTCCCCATGTCGTCTCGGACACAGACACCCAACGAAGGACAACCTGGTACACAGGCAATTCTGACTGACGCTCTGATTAGGAATATAACAGACGCAATCTCGGTGAGGCTAGCCGACGGGGGACCTCAACTGTCACTTATTCCTGTCGTAGTCACGGATCCTTCTGTTGGTGACAAAAACGGGCAAGGTAATGACGTTTTTGATTCAATTTGTTCAGTTTTTACGGAGGTGAATGAACATCATGCAGGGCTTGTGCCCAGTTATAGTTTTGAGCTGGGATGTAATGTCTCTAATAAAATCAAAGTACAAATTTCAAGCGGGCAATACGTAAATCTAGCAAAATTGGAGACTAATTTCTCAGACCCGGAAGACGGAATGCAGTACTTTTCATTTAAAGAGGGCAATTTGGCTATGACCCAAAGGAACAAGGTCAAGGATATAACGGATATCCAAGTCTGGACGAATCTTTTTCTTGTATATTCGTCTACATATGTGACTGCACACCCAGAATGCGCCACTGCCCTATTAAAGCATATGCACACAACCCGTTTAGGCGCTAATAGGTCATCCGGACTTGTTTGGCTTGATTACGATATCCAATTTTGCCTAAGAAAAGACCAGAACCCCAACATTTCTTTTGCTAACGTTGATCAGGAATTATGGTTGTTGTATATGCAGTCCCCCGCAACACCCAACAATTATTACACCAAAGATCAAGGAAACAAATGCTATGATTTTAATTTTCGGGGTTCTTGTCAAAAAAGGCCATGTTTTTATAAGCATCTATGCATGCGTTTTTCACTCAACCCTCCATCTATTAAATGTTCATTAAATTTACCTGCAAATCTTTTCAGCTTTAAGCCCACCAGTTCACAGTCATCTGGACGAGCCTACTCGGCAACAGCCACAAACAATGCAAGACCAGTGCAGCCATTTAGACATTAATAACAGAGCTACTACCCCTATTCAGATTTCCCAGTTAGACAATTATTTAAGTTTTTACCCAGACCAGCAC